AATATACAGGGTTCTCCAAAGTTTGTTTTCTATAATTGTTATGGCATTATAACTACATCTCCCTAATTGGAACTTATAAATGTAACCCTAACTCCAGCTTCACCATTGGCTTGCCATGCAGTGTTGGCTACTGTTGCTGCTGCTGCAATGAATTTGGGAAATACTGTCATTCAGCCTAGGCTAGCTTGATCTTCGTGCCTGCACCTGCTGAATTATGTGTTACAGCCCTGTGCCACCATTCCCAGGTAATGTTCTCTCTGTTTTATAAAGTTGGCATGTATAATTTGAACGTACTGATTATCTTCTTCTTTAAAGCGGTGTGCCCTGGTAACTGCTTTTTTCAAAGACAAATTACTCACAGTATAGACATTAATCGTCTGTTAGTCAGTTTGAAAGTTAATCATGAGCAAATGGAATAATCTTTAACACTGATGTTATCCTATTAACTTCTTTCTTTCTTTCTTGGGGGGGGGCGGTTTCGAGACAGGGTTTCTCTGTGTAACAGTTCTGGCTGTCCTGGAACTCACTTTGTAGACCAGGCTACCCTCAAATTCACTGAGATCCGCCTGCCTCTGCCTCCCAAGTGCTGGGATTAAAGGTGTGCGCCACCACCACCCAGTTCTATTAACTTCTTTCTAAGAGAGCTCTAAGTGGGACAGCTACCCAGTTTCTTCCCTATTCCCAGTTATTTAGACTAACTGATCACATCTTAGAGTCTCTATCCAGAACTGCATGACATTTCCTGATGCCATCAACTGGGAACACTGAGTGTTTGCAGCATTTGGGTGGATTATTTGTTTTTTATGTTTGAGACAAAGTCTCTCTATATATCGCAGGCTGGCCTGGAACTTTCTATGTAGCCCAGGCTAACCTGGAACTCTCTATTATCCCAGGCTAGCTTTAAAGTCACAAAGATCCTCCTGCCTCTGCCTTATGAGTACTAGGATTACAGGCATATGTTATCATGTATTAATTTCTTACTGTTGCATGGATATTAACTGTTTTCATGATTCTGTTGGAGAATTAACTTGGAGCTTCTTCTGAATCCAGAGGAAATTCTAACATGACTATCAATTCCCAAGATAGTTGCTGTATAGAGAGAGGTTGCTGTCCCAAGATAGTTGCTGTATAGAGAGAGGTTGCTGTTACCCCAAACACAGATTTAACGTGGTGACTACCAGAGCTCAGGAGACCTAACCTAGAAATGTGGGCACGGCTACCATTGTTTCATCTCCTCCTAAATGTGACTCGATGGATTTCACCATCGAGAAGCTGCCGAATCAGAGACATCGTGTGCCTTCCCTCAGCACTTATGACCACATCCTGCATAGCAGTGTTTTCTGACTCTGTGGTTAAAAACTGGCACAAATTAATGTATAGCTCGGCAGATCAGGAATATGCGCTAAGGCTGTGATTTGAATCTCAGAATTATTAGACGAGAAACTCAAGTTCTGTTCTTGAACATTCAGACAACAGAAAAAGAGCCTGAGAAGATAATACATTTCCCCCCCCCCCCTTCGGAGAAATACGTACACATGTGCAGGCAGAATTAACCCAGGACTTTCATTTAGTCTTTCAACAAACGTTTATTGCACATCTGCTATGGGTGAGGTACCTAGTAGTGAAAAAGATGTCCTAAATGCTAGACAATAAAGAGTGGAAGGGGAAAGACAATTAACTAATAAAAGGTGAGAGTCATAACAGGATAAAATGCAACACTTTCTCTAAAGAAAGACATTTTGGATGAGATCTGAGTGAAGTTTATAAAGCGACAGTGGATGAGATTTGTCATCATAATTATCATCATAACATGTGAGATTTCAAACAAGCATATAATGCTAAGATTTAGTGCACACATCCAAAGCCTAAAAGCGCATATTCCCTAATGTTACAGATTTGTTTTTCTTCTTGCGTTTTTGTCTTTTTTAAAAATTAATTAATTAAATAATTAATTTTGCTTTTTGAGACAGGGTTTCTCAGGCTCAGCTTTGGAGCCTGTCCTGGAACTAGCTCTTGTAGATCCACCTGTCTCTGTCTCCTGAGTGCTGGGATTAAGGGCGTGCACCACCACCACCCGCATTGTTTTGAAATGTTTTTTCTTCTTGCTTTCTACTTCCACAAACCTTACAGACTGTAGCTCAGTGCAAAGCTGTATTTGGTCTTTGGTTCCTGTTCATTCTTCTAGACACACAACTCCTGAAACTCCGTGTTTCCTTAGTGATAACTGTATGTGGAGGTTCACGACAAACCCTTTCAATATTCATGAATTTATGCTAATAAGGTGACTTAGGTTGGGACCAGAGGTACCTCAGACTGCAGAGAAACCAGTGAGAACTTTTAGCCTCACTTACTGACCTGTGGGAAAGTTGATGAAGAGCTGCAGATCCAAATAAAACCTTGGACATGGAGCTTGAGAGCTTCCGGGCTGGGCACACCGGAAGGCCCTGGGCAGGAGTCATGCCTGGAGAAAGCATGAAAACCTGCTCCCTCTAATGCCCTCTTCCATTTGACTGCTTCTGAGTCAAATAATTTATAATAAACCATTAACAGTAAGAAAGATGATGTCTGTACATCTGTCCAGGCTGTACATGTCTCTGTATTGTGGCTGATGTCTGAAGTAGGGTTATCCTGACAAGATGGAACCCTTACCCATGGTCCACACTCTTGTGAGCAGAATAGACATCCATCAACTAAACTGCTATCTTTAGTTGTCAGTTTGTCTGATACTTCAGAAGCTCCTAGAAGTGTGTGGCTTGGGAAAAAAAAATGAAAGAGAAGGAGCGAATATGGAACTTTAGTTCCTAAATGGCCATATTGTTATCGTGGTAGGGAGCCACAGCAGTGGTGTCCTGATGAGCTTCTAAAGGTAAATTTACCAATGGGCCCAACTCCCAAGGAGCCGATTCACGGTGCCCAAGGAAATGAAACTAGGAAGACAAGGAGTATAGCTCTTTGGCTGCTACTGTAATGGTTAAATTGTAGGCAGAAGAATGTACTGGACCAGGTCTTGAAACCAGACCAAGCTCAGATTGCATCTGGCCTGAGCTTTAGATATTAGATTCCAAGATGTCCCTAAAGGGAAAAAAATTACATGGGAACAAAATACCACCTAGGATATATCAGGACATGGGCTGGGGAGTCGGAGCAAAGGCCAAAGCATCTGTTACACAAGCATAGGGCCCCAAGTTCAAACACCCAGCACCCACGTAAATGACAGGCAGGTGTGTGGGAGCACATCTGTAATCCCTGCACCAGGAGGCAGAGACAGGGGATCTCTCCAGAAAACTGATAAGCCAGACTAGCAAATTTGCAAGCTCTGAGTTCAGTGGGAGAACCTGCCTCAATATATATGGAGGAGAGCAATCAATAACGACACTCAAAATTCGACTTGGTCTCCATTCACCCAGGTCCTTCTGCACACACAGCCTTCCGACACAGATGCAAACATGCATGCATACTTGGTATTTCAAGAAAGGAGTCCAGGTATGTGTAGGGGGGTGGGGGGCAAGACCAAGAAATGAAACCAGGGGGTAGAGTGCAGATGGAGTGGCCTTATTTTATAAGTCAGTGTCATCAGCTTGCTGATGAACCATTAGTAGAATGAATCATGGGCTTATTTAGGGGAAGTATTTTGACTCTATTTTTCTTTCTAGGGTTGGGGATCTAACCCAGGGCCTTGCATGTGTTAAGTACACACACTCTACCCCGAGCAAACCCCTGTAGCACTTTACTTTCCAGATGTTGCACAGTGATCAGACAGGTGTGGGCAGGACCCACAGCTCACTATGGAGCATTCACTGATTATTCTTGAGGAACTACCAGCGTGGAACATTGGATAGGAACCACTCTAAGGCCTCGAAGCAGTCTATGTAACTCGCCTTAGAAATACCAAGGGGGAGCATTCCAGATACACCTCCCAGTCAAGACCATTACACTCTCCCAGAATTGCCTAATTCTGAGAAGGGCAGTCTCCCCCTGGATCTGTAAGACCCCTAATGCCAGGGCATCAAGAATCAGGACATAGCCCAGTGGTGGTGGAGCACGCCTTTAACCCCAGCACTTTGAGGCAGAGGCAGGTGGATCTCTGAGTTGGAGGCCAGCCTGACCTACAGAGAGAGTTCCAGTACATTCAGGGCCATTCAAAGAAAAAGAGAAGAAGGAAAAAGAAATAGGGGCCAGCAAGCTGGCTCAAAAGATAAAGGTGACTGAGACTAAGCCTGGTACCCTGAGTTTGATGGTGGGAGAAAGGATTCCTACAGGCTGTCTTCTGACCTCCACATACACCTCTGCCCCCAATAATAGTAATAAACAATAATTTCAAAAAGAATTGAAGTATTAGCTACCCAGTTATGGTTTTTTTTTTTTTTTTTTTTTTTTTTTTTTTTTTTAGAGAATGGGCTGTTGGAAAATACTCCAAACTATGAAAGTGTGCTTTCCATTTTTATAATGGAAAGTGGTAAAACAAACATCTTTCATTTTCTGTTGTGACAGGGCCTGAATATTTTGTTTTTGGCTATGTAGCTCAGAATGACCCTAAATTCATGATCCTCCTGCCTCAGCTACAATCATAGACATGTTCCACCAAACCTGGCAAATAACTAGTCTTGGTTAATATAGTGTCAACATATTGGTGTAATGTGTGTGTGTGTGTGTGTGTGTGTGTGTGTGTGTGTGTATGATATGTATGTGCAAGTGCCCATGGAGGCCAGAAGGTCCCCTGAAGTTATTGGTGACAGAGCCACCTGACATGGTTGTGGGGAACCAACCTAGAATCTTCTAGAAGAGCAACAGGACTATTTAACTGCTGAGTCATCTCCCCTACCCCAATATTAGTTTCATCTTGCAACAAACTATTGAATGCAAATCTCTGTTAAATGAAGGAATCTGAGCTGACTTTTCACTAAACCCACAGATGCACATTTCCGCTGGCAAGGTCTTCCTCACACTCAACCTTAACTATATCTGTAACTGTGGAGTTTTTACTTCACAGCACGGTTTACCTCCTGTATCTTCCTCTTCATTGGTAGGGGCTTCTGTACTGTCCACATTTTCTGCTTCATGAGGTTTGCTTAAACTGTAGTCACTCAAGGCTTCCGGGCTTTCTAAAAGACAAAGGGAGTTTTAAGGATGATGTCTACTTGAAGAGATTTGTGAAACTGAGACGCAGCAAGATCCACACCACGGTCATCATCTGTGATAGCCAGTATTCCCCACCAATGCTCAGGCTCAACAATCCAGTACTGATAAACAGTACTCACTTCCCTCATCCCAAGAGAGTGGATGTGGAAACTCTCAAAGTTTAGAATTGTGAATGATACTCAGTATCCTTCTGCCGTCTACAATTCTTGTAAATATTGCTTTCACCTGTGCTATAACAAACTCATGCTCCATCTAGACAGCAATTCTTTGTTCATTGGTGTATCTCACAATATTCAGTAGGATGCTATTGCTGTTCGTGCCCAACAAGTATTAATGTGTTCAGCCTGAACACATTGATGTAACCCACTATGAGAGAAATGCTTTCCTAAAAGGAGACCTAGAAACGTCTGCATGCCAAACCTGTTTTCTCTTCCTGTTTGTATTGTAACTGTGATTCTGTGCAAAACATGATGGAGCCCAGTTCCTTTGTTCATTTCATTTCTTGATGCTTTAAAAAATGGGGGTATCAGCAGGGAAGTGGTAGTGCCCATCTTTAATCCCAACACTCAGGAGACAGAGGCAGGTGGATCTCTGTGAGTTCAAGGCCATTCTGATCTACAGAGCGAGTTCCAGGACAGACTCCAAAGCTACAGAGAAACCCTGTCTTGAAAAGCAAAACCAACCAACCAACCAAACAAACAAACAAAAAAACTGGGATCTCTCTGTAGCCCAGGCTAGCTCCAAACTTACTATTTAGTTTATGCTGACCTGAATTCAATCAAGCTCCCCCAGTTAGCAAACTATGGCCTGATCATACCTGCTCTGTATAGGTCCAGGGGTAAGGATGGTTTCAACATTTTCAAGGATTATTAAAAACAACAACAAAGGATCCAGGGAAGAGATTATATGATGAATTTCTGGCCCCTTTCCAGAAACAATTGCTGACCACTGATCTAAAGTGAAGTTTAAACCATGCAAATTCAAGCTATTATCTTTACCAAAAATCATTTAGCTAAAAAAAAAAAAAAAAAAAATCAAACAATTGAACAAAACTCCATTGATCAACATTAGCTGGAATGTAATCTGATTCTAGTGCTAAAGTGTGTGTGTGTGTGTGTGTGTGTGTAGGCCAGAGGCCATTTCAGGATCTTTTCTTTATTGTCTCCACTTTTTGAGACAGGCTCTCTCATTGAATCTAGAGCTCACTGGGATCCACTTGTCTCTGTCCATCAGTGTTAGGGTTACATGTACATGCTACCATACCTAGCTTTTATATAGTGTTGGGGGTCCAAATTCAGGCCCTCATGAGTTATTTCACTGAGCTGTCCCCACCCCATATCACATTTTTGTGGTGTTAGTGGAAGAGGTATCGATTTCCCATTTCATTCTGTGCCCAGAATGAGAGCACCTCTCTTTCTTTGGTGCTTTTGGTTAAAAGTGTGCTTCTACGGCAAAGCCCTGGCATTACCTGTGGGCAGAGGTTGCTCCTCGGCGCCTTTCAGCTCCGAATTTGGCTGTGTATCTAAAAAGAAAGGGACATAGGTATTAGCTACGCAGGACACAGTTCAGCCGGATCTGAGTGCTCTGAGTTGAATGAGGATGCAGCTCTGTAAAGCCTAGGGGCAGAATTCCTCTTCCAGGGCTGAGCTACATTTCCTCCATGCTCCCCCTAACGGCTCTGGAAGGGGAGAATTATCCAGGCTGCATAGACATGCTGAGACCATTCATTCTTTAGACATCTGCTTTGGGAAACCAGCATAAGACCGACCCAGACCCCCTGAACATGGGTCTCAGTTAGGAGGCCTGGGAAGTGTGTGCTACCTCTGACAATGGAACCAGGATGTGTCCCTAGTGCAGGAACAGACTTCAGGAGCCCATTCCCCAGCCTAGAGACACGGGGGAGGGTCTAGGCCCTACCCCAAAGGATTTCACTGACTTTGATGATCCCTCATTGAAGGCCTCACCCTCCCGGGGGAGTGGATGGCGGATGGGATGGGGAGTCTCTGGGAGGTATGAAAGGATGGGAGGAGAGGACTGGGATTGATATGTAAAATAAGAAAAAGAAAGAAAGAAAGAAAGAAAGAAAGAAAGAAAGAAAGAAAGGAAGTGAGAAAAAGCGGGTCACTCAGGGCAGATGGTGCACACCTTTAATCCCAGCACTCAGGAAGCACAGGCAAGTGGATCTCTGTGAGAGGGAGTTCCAGACCAGCCACAGCTACATGATGAGATCCTACTCAAAAAGTTAAGTTAAATAAAATTTAAAAATGGGTTATTACGGAAAGAATTTTAGATATCCATTATTATTATTATTATTATTATTATTATTATTATTATTATTGGTTTTTTGAGACAGGGTTTCTCTGTGTAGCTCTGGGACTTACTCTGTAGACCAGGTTGCCCTCGAACTCACAGAGATTCACCTATCTCTGCCCCCCCCCCAAGCGCTTGGATTAAAGGTAAGTGCCACCACCACGCAGGCATATCCTTAACTCTTTTCCATATATTCTCCATAATCGTGCTGATCACTGCTGTAGGACGAAGCAATGGTCTTCAGACCATTCTTTATTTGCTTTCATCAAAACAGGTCAGTTTTAAGGTCAACCAAGCCCCCCCCCCCCGTGATCCACTTTGGCGTCTATGCAATCTGTATGGCCTCTCTGGAACAGACAAGAGATAGTCTCTTGCTTTGTTGGTCAGGCTGGCCCCAAGCTCAATATTATTCTCTTGCCTCAGCATCCTGGCTAGCTAGATTATAAACCTATGCCCTCCTGGCTAGCTTCCTCCAAGCATTTTATTCAGAACATTTTTGAGTAGAAAATGAACCAGGGCAGAGTGGTGCACAGCTGTGACCTCAGCACCTAGGAGGCTGATGCAGCAGACTTCTGTTAAGTGCAAGCCCAGTATGGCCTACATAATGAGCTCTAGCCTGGAAAGGGCTACAAAACTAACAGTGGGGCTAGAGAAACGGCTCAGTGATTAAGGGCACATACTGCTCTTGCAGAGGACCTGAGTTCAGTTCCCAGCACCCACATCAGGTGGCTCACAGCCATTTGGAACTCCAGCTTCGGGGGATTCAACACCCTCTTCTGGCCTCTGAGGGTATCAGAACTCACACGTATATAACCACACACAGACACACACTTACACATGGGTAAAGATAAAAGGCTTAAAAAGTGGGGGAGTAGAGAGGGAAAGGAGAAAGCAGAGACACACGTACAATGAGCTCTCATTAATCGCCAACTGGATTCTGCGGTTTTGTGATAGTAGGTGTTGTGGAACAATTTTTTGTAAACTGTGAAGATGTGTTTTTGCCAAGACGCCTTCTGATTGGTTTAATAAAGAGCTGGATGGCCAATAGCTAGGCAGGAAGAGGTTAGGTTGAACTTCTGGGCAGAGAGAGGGGAAGAGGGGATGATTGTAGGTGTGGGAGAGACACCGGAGGAGATGGAGGGGAAGCAGGACATGCAGGAGGAGAAGGAAAAGCCACGAGCCATGTCACATGTGACAGCACCTAGACTAATAGAAGTGGGTTAGTTTAAGTTATAAGAGCTAGTTAGAAACAAGCCTAAGATAAGGCAGAGCTTTCATAATTAATAAGAAGTCTCCATGTCATTATTTGGGAGCTGGCGGGACAAAGAAAGATTTGTTACAACTAGATACTATTTTTACTCCATCACATACCACTCCCCCATTAGTTAGTTGGTCTATTCATTCATTAATTCAGATAAATTTCCAAAATAAGTTAGAGACGTCAGTATATTTCATCCCTTTAATATCACAAAACAATACTAAAATTCTATATTTATAAGATTTTAAGATAAAATTTATATGCAGGAAATTGCTTATATTTTAAATGTGCCTTTAATGATTTTCAAAAGCATATATGCCTGTGTAATGCAAATTCCCATCAATATCCAGATGTAGGTGTTCATGTATGTAAAACCCAGGAGCCAGGAGTTAAGGAGGTCTGTGGGTTTGAGGCCAGTCTGGGCTACATAATGAGACGCCATGGGGAAGGGATGGGAAGGAAGAAGGGAACAAGGGAGAAGAGGAGAGGGGAGGGGAGGAGAGTGAGAAGAGAGGAATAAATGATGGAGTGTCTCCACCACCCCGGAAGGGTTTCCCTGGGAGCCTCTTCCTAGGCAGCCCTCACACACTCACTCCAGACCCTGCTTCCATTGTAGCCAGTTTAGCTTATTCTAGAGCTTTGTGAAAATGAAACCTTACAATCATATGATGCAGATTCTTTTGTCCAAGGCTTCTTTTAACCTCATAATATTTTGGGACCCACACATTCAGTGGTGCTTCTTAGTAGTTCATTGTTTTGATTAGGCAGTATCCCACTATAAGAGCCCACCACTCACCTACTCTCCTCTTGAGAAACATTTAAACTGATTCTAGTTTCCTTGTTTTTGGTTGTTTGAGCCTTGCTAGGTAGCCCTGACTGGCTTGGAACTCACTACATAGACCAGGCTAAGCTTGAACTCATTGAGAGCCATCTGCTTCTGCCTGCTGGGAATAAAGGTGTGTGCCTTAAACAAAACTACTATGCTATTATTCTCCGTAAAGAGTAGACTTGAGGCAGGAGAGATGGCTCAGCAGTTAAGAGCACTCATTGCTCTTGCAGAGGACCTGGGTTCAAACCCCAGCACCCACATGGCAGTTCACAACTGTCTGTAACTCCAGTTCGAGGGAATACGATGTCCCTCTTCTGAACTCTGAGGACAATAGGCATGTGTATGGTGAAAACACACACATACAGACAAAACACGCATACGCATAAGATAGTTTAAAATAGACCTTTAAACATTTTAAATAGTAAACTTAAATTTTAAGATAGTTTTAAACTTACAGGAAAATTATGAAGGTAAGTACAGAGGGCTCCCACACACTCCATATTGAGCCTCTTTTATTAACATCTTATTGTTAGTGTGAGATTATCTATTGTAACTCATATACAGATATCTGTTAATTATATTAAGTTTTCAGATTTCCATTGTTTCCACCCAATGCCTGTATTAATTTAGTCACCATGTCCCCTTAGGCTCTTCTTGGTTGGTTAGTGTCTCAGACTTTCCTTGTTTGGGTGACCTTGATGGTTTCATGAGACGGGCAGGTATTTTAGAGACTGTCCCTCAGCTTCGATGTGTTTGTTTTTCTCATGAGGTATGACGGTCCTTGTAAAAAGCCTTTCAGTGGCCATATGCATTCATATCTCTTGAGTAAATATCCAGGTGTTGAATTACTGGGTCATGGAGTAGGTATATGTTTAGTTTTAACAGAAACTGCCAGAACTTGTTCAAAAGTGGTTGTGCCACCAGCAAAATATGCGTTCTTCCTGTTGCCCTGCATCCTCGCCCATAATTTAATATTGCTGGAATTTTGGTTGGCTTTGCTTTATGAGACAGGGACTTGCCATGTAGTCCAAGCTGCCTCAGTCTTCTGCCTCAGTTTCCCCAGTGTTATATACATGCTTGCAACACCACATTGAGCCTATCATGGTGATTTTTGTTTTAAAACTGAGACAACCCACAGGTTGCCATTTAAAATTTTTTGTCAGGTTTATTCATTTTATGTGTTTTCCCTGTGTGTGTGGAGGGGAGGGGTGGGTGTACTGTGATCATGCCTGGTGCCAGCACTGGTCAGAAGAGGGCATCAGCTCCCCTAGAACAGAAGTGAGTCCTGACAATCCACACCGGGTTCCTCCTCCACAAGAGCAACAAGTGCTCTGACTTCTGAGCCATTTCTCCAGCCCTGTCATCAGAATGGTAAATGAGAGCCACCCTGAGAGATGTGTATTAGAATTTCATTCTGGTTTGAATTTATATTTCCCCGAAAAGCTGATGATAGTATCTCTTTCCACATTTTTTTTTTTTTTTTTTTTTTTTTTTGGTGTGTGTGTTTTTAGTGATATAATTAGGGATTGGCAAGGTGGCTCAGTAGGTATGCTATCAATCCTGAGATTGATTCCTAGAGTCCATGGTGGAAAGAGAGATTCTGCTTTTAGAATATTCCTCCTGACTTCCACATGTATGGTGTGACACACACACATACATGCATGCTCTCTCACACAAATATACTGTAAAATGTAAAAGAACCTTAAAGTATGTATATGTATCCAGTTTTTGTGATGACCTTGTTTACTGAGATCTTACTATAGTAACTTACTTAGCTTTAGCTTTAGTGGTTCAGCATCTTCCTTAGGATTTTTGATGTAATTAATCACCACTGGCAAACTGAAAGTATTTTTGGTCTTCCTTTCCAATCTTTGTATTTATTTTATTTTTATTTTATGTGCATTTGTGTCTCATCTGAATGTATGTCTGTATTGAGGGTATCAGGTCCCCTGGAACTGGAGTTACAGGCTGTTGTAAGCTGCCATGTGGGTGCTGGGAATTGAACCTGGGTCATCTGGAAGAGCAGCCAATGCTCCTAACTGCTGAGCCATCTCTCCAGCCCCCTTTCCAACTTTTATGCCTTCTCTGCTGTATTGCATGGGCTAGAATTGCTAGAACTATTGAA